CCAACAGGCAAAAGAAAACTTAAATCAATCGGTATCATTCAACTTATATTACGACTTTTTTTATGTAGATTTAGGTCAAATATGTACTGTACAGTAAGCAGAATCAGGTAGAGTTATGTTTGACTATGCTTGAGTTCTTAACGATAGAGAATCCAGACTCAAACCTTGTCAAGTTCCACATCTAAGTGAAGGCAATTCACTCTGTGTGCTGACCAATTTAGTCTGACATACTGTACGTCACACACCGAATCCTGTTTCACAATGATTCTTTACGTAAATTTTTTTTCTTAACTGGTGCTAACTAAACTCAATCTAGTTAAGGTGAAGACTCGGTATACATTGGCCCTCTTAACTGGGGCTATTAAGTGAACACACCTCGTTACAGGCAGAATAATAACTAGAGTATATAATTCTAATGCTAAACTGATATTTTTTTTGTACAGTACTTTAGTTTACGTAAATAACAGCATTCTTATATCTCCAACTAAACCTGATCAACAATGTCAGGATATTTTGGTTCGGTTAGGTTTTAAGTTATTGTGGTCTGCTTTCTAAGAGGTTTCAAACTTGTCTTTTCCTTGGTGCTCCACTGAATATATATTTTACAAATTAACGCATAAAAATCAGGAAGACCTAGTCAAAAAAATCACCATGATATAAGTTTCGGGATGAATATTAACACAAGGATAAAATACGATGAGAATCCCGATAACAGTAAAGTAAAACCTTAAAGGGATGATGTAAGATCTGTAGACGACTTGTTAACTTTACGTGACGACTGTAACATAAATAAACCCACGATAGGCGTGTTGTCATGACCACATGTGTCCATCTACCCTGTATAAGGTCACGCACACACCAGTGACCCCTCGAGACTGTGGCTTCTTGACCTGGAGCACAGATCTACCTTCCTAGAGCCTGCTTACCTACTTCCCCTTCCCCCTAGTACGCTCACACACACAGCCCCCCCATCGATACACGTTCATTTCCATAACCATACACACACACACCACATACCTCGCCCATGACCCCCTTCTGAGTGGAACTCATCTACATCCAGAGGATAGATGACCAGACAGGTCCTCCACCCGTCTGACTGGCCACTGACCAAACCTCTCCAGTCACCCAGCAGTACCTGGCCACCTGCAACTACCTCTACTACCTGGCCACTTGCAACATTCTATGCGACCCTGCTACTTACAACAGCCGAATTCTACAACATTTTTACAACACTATTCAGCCTGTTATGCGAATAGTGCGACACATAAAACTGACTGTATCTACCCCCCCATTAAACTGTCATATATCCCCACTTCAATGACTGTCACATTCCCCCATTAAAGTGACTGTACTGTCCCTACTTAAATGACTGTCACACATTCAATGATAATACTCGTACCTCAAGCTCGACCTCAGAGCTTCCAGCCTCTCCCAGTTTTGGATAATATGGTCCAAGAAGGAGAATTACGGGGCTACAGACCACAATAAAAAAGTATAATTGGATTACACACATTTACAGAAAATTATGCAGGCGATCACACACTCAAAGAAAATGATGTATGCATTCACACTTCGCGAGGAAACGGTGCATGGATCATTTCAAATACTTACTGTGAGAAAGTCGTATACGATGGAGGGAGAAAGCTTCACCTTAGTTCACACAACATCCAACACACCCCTAACTTGTCCTCCTCACCACAGTCGCTCATCCTGTAAAGTTATACAAGGCATCAGCTGGAGTATGGTGGAAATTTTTCTGTACATTTGAGTGGAATGTCCGAGAACAGTGTGTGATATATACCTCTATCTGTATCTGTGAAGAGTATGAGTGAGGGAGAGGAAGATGAAGAGGAACAGGGTGCAGGAGGAGAGAAGAGGAAGACAAGATACAGTAGGAGAGGTCTGTGCAATAACAAAAGAGTGTCTCCTACACATCCCCTCTTGAAAGACAATCAATCAAGTCAAGTTTACTAACAATATAATATTCAAGACTCGCTACAAAGGTCTAACCTGTCATGGCTTTCACTGACAACACTCGTCAAGTGGATCACATTGTGTCCTCCAGAACTATGATCAAACCTGTACTGTATATTATCATCAGGTGAGTGAGCGTCTGTCACACTTCTTTTTTAGCCAATGAATCTATCATTGAGACGGGTGAGGAGATACGACAAACCTGTTTGATGCTATTATTAAAAGTGTCTCCTCTCACTCTCTCACCTTCTTTAATTTTGAGGGGTGACTGACCCCCAGACAAACTGTATGTATGTATGTATGTATGTATGTATGTATGTATGTAACACCTGATAATATCTACAATAAACGGCTCTTGCACCTCCTACACCGTTTACTAAATTTTGAAAGCAGGATTTTTAAAACTCCACTGAAATGTATGAAAATTTTAACATATATTGGTGAAGTCTTTAGAACAAAATACTTCGAACTTGGTATGAAATTAACATTCAAGAAACATACTACTGACAACGCCTTCATTTTCCACTGACATCACCATAAATATTACTGGAGATGCATCACGTCCTTACAAGGTGTATTTCTTCAAACATTGGTAAAAATTTATGAAATCTGTTATTGGAAATTTAAATTTATAGACTTGAAAAGAATCCTTCAAACCACTAGAAGTTAAATGTTAATTACAGTACAGCACTTTATAATTACCAGTGGGGGGTAGATATGGTAGGGGAGGTTGGTTGGTGGTGGTGGCTGGACTGGCGGTGGGGAGGCTGGTACTAATAGAGAAGATAACAACAGCACTTACAGTATGAACGATATGATCTGTAACAAAAACATAATGAGTTTCACCAGCAGCAGCAGGTACCGTTTTAGTAATAATAGCCAAAGAGACAAGACAGTGTAGTAGGGGTAAGAGCAGCAGCACAAGGGTCACCACAAGTAGCAGTACTATCACCACTCACCCGGGTGATAAATAATAAGACATGGCAGTTTTACCTTATCATCTGGAAGGGTATTTACATAATATATCAATATATAGCACATGATGTCCGTGGCAGATGTATCAAGACATGAATGGTGGTGTTCTCTGACAGCTTTATGCAAATACGAGATAATTTGCATGGCGGGGTGTTATCGGAGCTGGCGAACAGGCGGGCGAATGAGGTGTCGCCCCCCCACACACACACACCCTCTCACCGATTTCGCCCGCGTGTAGCCAAGCCAATTCCTCATACTAATGGCCTTACAGGAAATAAACAGTTAAGCCTTCATCTAGTTCTATTTTGTAAAATGTCTATGAGTGGACTGCAAACATCAAAACGGATTGTATTCTTCCAGGTTTTCATTAAGGTGTTTAATTTACATTTAAATCAGTTGGGGGAACAAGGAAAGGGACTTTGAATTCACTTAAGACAAGGTAGGTAGGCCGCGGCATACACTCCTTTGACTCCATAACATACATCTTGATGTCACAGCATCAACTGACCTAAAGTTCACACGTTAATGGTGAATGAGTGACAAACATGGCGGGAATAACAGGTCGAGTAGGTGGGCGGGCAAGTGAGAATCGTAACAAGGTCATTTTGGTCTTTAACTGTCTCTTACATACACACTCGACGCCTCACAACACACACAAGTGATATAATAAAGAAGACTGTAACTGGAGAAGGATTCTAAATATCTTACAAAAAAATGTTGTTGTAAGAAATACCTAGTAATGAAGTGTTTAATAACACGAGTTCTTATGTCTTTCAATTCAAATAACTCATCACTAGTATAATATACTAGAAACGATTCTAGAGGTACAATATAAATAATTGGTTCTTATCTCAAGGGTGGATAGAGAAGGTAAAATAGCCTCTGTATTTGTGTATGTAGGTGACGATGACGTTATAATATTCGTACTGCACTTCAACAACTAAAGTATTTATGTGCGCAATAGGGTTAATAATTACAACAGTTTATCAACAATTAAAAAGCACGAGACAAAACTCTGATGTGTGACAAACCCAAGTAAAATCGGCAAGACCTGTATTGCGAGTTCAGTTATTCTTTCAATTTCAGACACAGAAGGTGTTTATGCTGATTCAATCGTCAGTGGAGAAAAAAAAGATTGAAATTCGCGGAGCACTACCATAAACACGGGTGCGTGGGCCGGGTCTCCTACTCTTTTGGTTCAGGGAGCCAGGGTGCTCAACGCCACGCACACAACCATTCCATTCCACCACACTATTTAAATACACGAGTTGTTTGTCATAAATTATAATAATGACATCCAAATAGTTGTTGACCTGAATCACAGTCGGCATTTATGTTGTCTGGGTCATAGAGAAAGTCAGGATGGAGTTGAGGCAGACATATCGAGAAATGGCAACGGTGTATCTCTGTTTAGTGCGGACGACATTATACAAAAGGCCATGTCCGACCAGACGACAGCAGTGTCAGTGAGACTGAGATACGAGACAACACATCCGCACACCAACACCACGTCAACCCTGCTAACTTTCTATGATGGTTCGTGTGTTAAGCCGGAGGTAGGGAGAGGGAGAAAGACTAACTCCTTTGTTGCTGGGATGTCGCTCTTTTACTGCTGCCGCCCGTGCCACGCCCTCTACATGTGGGTGTTCACTCTGACCGAGGTTATTTAAAGATTACAAAGTGATGGTAACTACCTCACACAATTAAGTGTCACTGGGATCAAAGTTCACACATAATGTCGGGAAACAAATTGGGATGACGCTCCTCGCAATGGCCGCTTCACGCATGTCCTGTACCTCCAAACTTACCGAAGTACAGTATGCAGAGCACCTTAATGATTACTTTACAAACAGCAAGATCTCAAACAACAGCTCAGTGTGTTATTGTTGATGATGCATTACCATGCTTCAACAAGTTAGGTCTTTGAGCACGTATAGTCGGTATTAGAAATTAAGTCATCATTAATTAAACTTTGATAAATAAAACTTCTTATATAACATTATAACCTTAATTATTATGACACTTGACTGAGGTGCACCTTACGTCCCCAGCACAATGTGTCGCACTGTGGGCGTGGTGATGATGTTAGCGTGTGCGGGGTGTGCCCTGGCCCGTGTCCTCCCGTCCACATCATCCGTCCACACCACCAGGGACGCACGCATCCTGAAGGCGGCCAGGGCAGCACAGACTGAACCCATCTTGCAGCTCAGGGAGGTGGACCGCGATAAGTTCCCAGACATTCCTGACTACGTGTTCCAGAACAGTAAGTTACATACACATACTCTCACTCATTAATAAATAAATAACTAATGTACGTGGATATTTCAATTGTATAAATAAACAATATTCTTATTACAAACCTGTGACTCCGAACTGCTGGAATGTCTCTGAACTATTGGAATGAGTCTGAACTGCCTGCCTATTCTATCTATAGATGACGGTTGTCGTGGGTCAATTGGGTTTGGCAGTTTCCAACAGGAGAGTACAGTGACTTTTGGGCGTGACTTCACACAGTGTAAAAAGAAACAAACTGTAAATTCAACGATCTCCACATTCATTTACAATGCAACAGTTAAAGCATAACAGTAATTACATGTTTACAATAAAGGCTTTTTTTTTACAAAGCCTTTCACGAGAAACATCTTTTGTCCAATTGTATCCCGCCCGATATACTGTCAATATGTCTAAGCAGTTAAGTGTTAGGGAAGCAGTGGGTGATGGGAGGCGGTGGGTGACTAGAGGAGCTTCAGTACCGCCAGGTGTTCAATTATCGTCAACACATTCATTTGCGTTTCACTTATGTCAATCTCCAAATCTGTGAACATAAAATTTAAGAAGGAAAAAAAACCCTATCTTCTTCCAGTTCCAACGCCCAGGAAACACCTTTTAACATATCATAAAATACCAGACTCACGATCCCCCTCCTCACTGATTATTGCACCTACTGTTATATTACTCCACTGTATATGACAGAGCACGTATTCCTGTTAGTCTGCCTGCCTGGATGTGCTCCTTTAATTTAATATCTCATCACCAAAATCAACACACACTAATGCAAGGTTCAAAACACATGGTACCAACTGAACCTTCAACCACTTTAAAACAAACTATTTAAACCACAACAGTCTCGGGGTTTAAACCATGATGTTTCAACCTTAAATCAGTCTAAGGGTTGAAAGCTTTCCAGGTGAACCTCCCACAACACAAAACATACGAATTGAACCTTAACATTAAAGGTTTAGTCTAAGATAACAGTACCTTGGTCCTCCCTACATGATAGAAGGGGCCCAGGGCAAGGGTTCACTTTACGGTCCCTTTTTGGTACTTTCATATCGTCTTCATGTCCTTGTTTCCCACTGCCCTCATAGTCCCCATGATATTACCTTCATACTCGCCTCCCAATACATGACAAAGGTCCGTGCTGCCTGCTTTTTCGTGACATCAAGGAGCTCCTGTAGCAATTTGGCTAATCGATCAACTCGGCCAAAAGGTCATCATTCAGTCACTCCAAATTTGATCAAGTTTTTAACCTAATCTATTTCTAGACATTGGATCTATTTTTTCCTACGTTAATTCGTATTTCTTTGTTATACTGTATTCATGTAATTTATTATATTTTTATATCTTGGGGCCCCTGGGTAACTTGAGGGCCCTGGGTAACATGGGGGCCCTGGGTAACTTGAAGCCCTGGGTAACATGGGGGCCCTGGACACCTGCTCTGTTTTTCCTGTCTTTAATTCGGTTCTGCTTCCCTATATACAGTCATGGACTACCCAAGAGAGGTGCAAAAACTCCTACGTCAGGACCATCAAGATCCTGAGGTCACCGCCGGCTTCTTCCAGGGCGATATGGCAGGACTGACCACGGAGGTGAGACACACACACACACTGGCCCTAGCTACTGAAGATTTATAGTTCTGGCATTTGTTGTTGCTGTAATTCTAGTGGTAACAGTAACCGTGGACTTGGTGTTAGAAGTACTGTAGTATTTGTGGTAGTTGTGATCCTATTAGTAGTAGTAATTGTGGTAGCTGTAATCCTGGTGTAGTTGTAGTAACTGTGGTAGCTGTATTCAGTATTAGTAGTTAAAGTGTGGTTAAAAACAGTAGATGATCTGATCGCATTACCACAACAAGCAGTAACAACCTTGCATTCGCCACCTACACAAGTACAGTAGTAGAAGACAGAATAAGGTTCATATGTTGCAGAAGCTCACTACAATGGAAAGTAGAATACCCATCTGACAACACCATAACTCTACCCAAATGACAAATAAAGTTAACAACACTCTACCCTTCCGCCATCCAAACGCTTCATCACAATACCCACTCTTCAGTGAACACTACCTCAACCATCACTCCATTATACTTTTTTTTTACTAGCTCCACTTAACAGCACCATCCCTCTCCCAGAAGTACTTGACTACCCTAGTACCCCCCCCCCCTAGCTTTCATCAATGGTTCCGTCCATCATTTAACACAGTCCTTCACCGTCAGTTCATGCTCAGCACGAGAGTGGGACTGAATTGGAAAGTGTTCCCAAACCGACGCTGGACCAACGCCACCGTCCCCTTCGTCATCAGTCGACACTACCGTGAGTAGGTGTTCTTCATCTCCTCTCATATTTTCCAAAAGTACGTCATATATTCATATTATTCAAGATAGAATATTAATCTATACTTCTATTGGTAGCTACATGTGATGAAAGAATCGGTGCATTGACAAACATTCTAGCTACAAATTTATTTCATATCCTGGTTTTTAAAGAAAAAACTCCACTGATACCTGTGTGTGTCCTTATCTACAGGTAGTATTATCATGTTACAGTTCCAGCAGAGCGTGAGATGATTGAGCGAGCGATAGCGACCCTCAACTTCATGACGTGCATCAAGTTTATCCCGTGGGACGGTGAAGCCGAGGACTACTTGATCATCTGGCCCGTCGAGGAACCTGCGGGGTATGCACGCCAGGGTTCACTACCTCGCTGTTCATGGAAGTGTACACAATGATTGGTTAAGTGATCCCCAGTCTTAATAAACTACAGCCTAACCCAAGTATTAAGATCAGGAACAAGTCTTAAACTCCAGTCCTATGGGGCCCCAAATTCCACTGGCAAAGCTCACTTAGAACCTATTCAGACGGGTCCAAACTGCCTGTAATTGGCGTACATGGCTCAAAACTTATACTCTACTACACTCTTCCCTTCTCCCCACATTATACCACAATTCTCTCTATATTATCATTATTGTCTATCTGCTAGAAAACATGAGAAATGGCTCTTCCCATGTTATCAAGTTTTGCTTACATGATTCAAATGACTTATTTTACTTGTCTAATCTTTTCACGATTGGGTTCCTCTAAATACCGCATGCTAATCAATACAGTCCTGCAACCTCTTCATTAGTGAAATCATTATTTTACGGTACTTTTAAATTACAGTATTTATCTAAAAAAATCAACAATACACACTGAAAATGCAAGACCCAATTGAGGAATATTTCCTAACCCTTAACGCCAACAGCTAGTTTACATGAGCAACCCCGCATGCAGGTTTTGCTGAGGAGTGGCGAATTATATCAAATAATATTATGCAAAGACACAAGGCAGGGAGGGTTTCAACTGATCACCTCTCCGGGGTATTGATACTTGGTGTCCCAGTCGCTGGCCATAAACCCTTTAGGAATTATTCTATTTTTCTTAGAAGTTAAACAAAACATTCATTAAACTTCCCTGGTATCAATTCAACATTTTTACTAAGCAAGAAATACCATAATTTTAAGCTTTAAACATAGTAATGGTGTTGGAGGTTGATGATATGGAGTGAATTGAGTCTTTTGCACTGAAAAGGGAAGACAGTGTAGGAGGAAGGTAAAGCTTAGAAGTGGGAAATAAAGTGGGATATTTGATAGCAGGTGCGCTAGTCACCTTGAAGGTTTACCTACTACACGTGTATATTGTAACTAATGATAGATGTAATCACTTGATATATCCAAAAAGTCAAATTCTAATTGCGAGTAAATTAAGATTTCAACAATAAAAAAACAATCCTGCTGCTGAATCACACTGAAGCAGTCCTTACCTTCCTGTATTAGCAGTAAATTCTTGTGCATTCTACACACATACGGTCATACCACTAACACCGCCGTCGCCTGCAGGTGCTGGTCATACGTCGGGAAGCGGGGTGGTCAACAGGTGGTGTCCTTACAACCTCCAGACTCTCGCTCCAACAGATGTTTCATCTCACTCGGCAAACCCATCCATGAGCTGCTACACGCCCTTGGCATCTTCCACGAGCAGGCACGAGCAGACCGAGACAACCACGTCACTATAATAACCAGAAACATTATTCCAGGTGAGTGATGCTGAGCTGAGGACAACTCGATAAGGCTGAGTCAGAGAAAGTTTCCTTTATTTGTACTAAAGAAATAAGTGGTTCAAGGAGTTATATGACAGGCATGTAAGAACACCCTAAGCATAACCAATGTGATAGATGAATTCAGAAATATTGTACAATGTTACGTCGAAAAATGCCAAATCAGTTTTATTCTCGTAAAAACGCTTAAACTCGCCCCTTAAAGCTACCTAATAAGTCTTGCATTATATTAAGTGAAAAACTACAACTCCATCATTATTTGACCAAAAGCTACACGAAACTTGAAATAAGATTCAACAGCGAAGACTTGTTATATATTCCATTCAAAGTTAGGCAAATGTTTTACCGACATAACTTTATAGAAATCATTTTACTAAGCAAACTTATTCTCAGAACACTGAAAAGAGAAGTAACCAAATCAAATCTTACCTCACCACCCACAGACTATCGTAACCAGAATGTATCAATTTTATCAAATTAGCTTTGGTCAGTTTGGTTTTTGGTTCGGTTTGCCTTTTTGTATTAGATACTGTATTTTGTACGGTTTTACCAAATCCAAACGAAGCGGCTCCGTGGTCATTATATTGCAGCTACCTAGCCCACAGGCAGTGTGGCAATTATGTTGTATTCTTTGAGAACAGAAGCCATTACATTACGCAATTTGCATAACAACGACGAGTTTTTCGGCAGGTGAACCTAGTCTAACTTATCGAAGAAGAACCGTAAAATGGAACGTAAGTACTTTTACGTTCCGTTCCACGAACTTATTATATTCAAAGACCACGCGGTCCAGTAGCCACAATATTAAGGCCACGGAGCCAACTGTTTACACCAAAATTAAACCTTAAAATAATCCAAGAACTATGTTAACCTTAAAAACAGAACTCCGTTATTACTATCATTATATGTGCAAAAGCGCAAACAAAAGCAATCTAATGGGTTAAAATCTAACTCAATACTGAACCTTAAAACCTGCCCAAACAGACCTGGTGATGATGCTATTTTGCCGTGCTGATAGTCTTCCGTCCATGCCCTTTTCTGATGTCGCTTCTTGTCGTATTTTATATATTATGCACTTTTAATTTTACCTAGTAGATAGTTTTAAATTTACCAGAAACACCTAATAACCACACATCAAACTTCACAATGCAGCTCTGACATTCACCCAGTGTGTCATGGCGACGCTGCCAGGTGTCAACAACCCGGGCAAGGAACATCATCAACAACCGAAATATTATCTAATTAAGTATTCTAATTTAACGTGATAGCTAGAATGTTTGGAAATTTTTTTAATTACATACCCTGTAGATGGATTTTCTTGGGGGTTATCAAGTATCTGTACTATTAAAGAATGATTGCCTATTTTGAAAGATGTTCGACTACCTTCTAGAACCATTAGCTTTACTCTCCTAAATGCTGCTGCAATATATGCAAAGGCATCCTGCTTTAATCATTATAAAGCATAATTCTGACAATCTTTTCAACTATAGAATTTTTATTTTGTTTAATATTTTGCACATAAAACACTTACAGCAGTTGCATTTGCTGCTGGATATTAAATCGATCGTACGTCAACCAGCGAGACATACTGTATGTAGCAAAAGATATTGCATTCAATATTCAATTGTTTATAGCGGCCAGAAAATGTGTTATGCCGTGCAGAATTTTATTTCAAATACTTAAGATATTTAAAGAGAATTGAGATATTTAAAACGGGACCTACTTTATCAATAGTATTTTACACAGACCCTCGATGCAGTTCTTATGCAAATACTGATACCATGGATATTTGTTTTTAACATTATAACATTATTATTATTTTTTTTAAATAGGTAATACAACTACCATGGTTATAAGGCACCCAGAACAAGCCATGTTTCCTCACAACAGGCAACTTTTAAAATTCTCTTGCTATGACAGCACTCTGCACCTCCAGCGAAAATGCTATCAGAAAACTAAAAGCCTTTGAACAAATTAATGACTCAGTCACTGTTCTAGCTTATAAATTTGATTTTTTTTTCAATTGCAGTTTCAACGATAAATAGTTGATCCTTGGCGTGTATGTTTACCTCGACCCAAGAGTATAGTTATCCATAGAAGTAAAAGTGATTCATAGTTATACAGTATAGTAGTGTCCATGAATTATCTGACCCATTTTAAAACTTATAGTCTCAAACAAGCTCAAATAACAAACAGTGCACAATGGAAGCCTACTAAGACAAGAAACTTAGGAATTGTTTATCAAGTGAATTAGGACCTGTGTATTCTATCTATAATATTTTGAAATTATTAAGTAGTAGAATGGGTCAAATACTTTACGGACACCCTGTATAGTATATCTTTTTTCTCTTGAAGAAGTTATATATAGTAAGTGACAAGATTGTTGTCTACAGATTATTACCACAACTTCGGGAAGCAGGGAGAGGAAAACACCACCTTCCCATTCGACTACGACTACGACTCCGTCATGCACTACGGCAAAAACTTCTTCAGGTATAGCCACACCTTCAGGTCACGTGATTCGACAAATTTTCATGCATTACGGCACTGTTTAAGCGTTAGTGTTTGAGCACTCTTAATTAGATGTGGTCATACTCTACCAATCAAAATACTTCATCTGCAACTTTAAATACTAAATAAATAGAAGAGAGAGAGAGTAAATTTATACAACTAATTTGTTTCCAACATTTTAGCCTGTGTTTCCTTTATTCTGGTAGTCATGCAGGAGTTTTTTCCGTATATAATTTATGTGAATCCACCTACTCTGTCTCCCGTCACTTTCACCTATCTAGATACAGTACATTCCTTCCACCCCCCTCCCCCCCCCACAGTCCTTTCCTTCTCCTTCCTCCTGTTATTTCCCTTCACCCAGTTACTCTTCTCTCTTTCCATCTATAGCCCCCCCCTCCCACCTTCTCTTTCCCTCCATCCATCTACCCTCCCATTTCCTTCTAGCTCCCTTCCTATGGTCGCCCCCTTCTCGTTACTTCCCTTCATCCATTTACCCTCCTCTTTCCATCTAGTTCCCTTCCTATAGTCCCTCCCCTCCCTCCCTTCCCTTTCCCTCCTGTTACTTCCCTTCATCCAGTTACCCTCCTCTTTCCTTCTAGTTCCCTTCCTATAGTCCCTCCCCTCCCTCCCTTCCCTTACCCTCCTGTTACTTCCCTTCATCCAGTTACCCTCCTCTTTCCTTCTATAATGCCCTTCCTCCCTCCCGTCACTGCTTCACGACACTAAGGTGATTTACTCTGCCTTCAGTTACTCGAAAAACCTACCGACCATCGTGCCTAAGGTAGAGAACGCTACCATCGGCCAGAGGATTATGCTGAGTAAGCTGGACTGTATCAAGCTTAACGACCTCTATGGCTGCCTCGACGACGCCGACGACAGAGAAAAATACACCAGTTTTTGCAAATATTTAGGATTATAATGACAACCTTAAGTTATTGTGTCGTGATATAAAGTTATTTATTGATATCAGGGACTCGTTGTGTTTTATAAGTGTCTATTAAGTATGACTGGGAGTTTGGTGTGTTAAGTAACGGTGTATAAGTAATGTGTATCTCGTTGTATTCTGGTCATCACACATTACATAATACAGTATCATATATTATGGTAACTTTACACACACACACACACACACACACACACACACACACACACACACATATATATACACAAGCATTATATGTAACATTTACCGTATCATCATTGCTCATGAGGGTGCTGTTCCTCGCAGATGGTTGACCTCTCCTGCCCAGGTTGTACCAGAGGCTCGTGACTGCTGTGTGTTGAGGAACCTTACCTAACTTATCTGACCAACTTAACACAGTAATATTTATTTATAAGAGGCACTATACGTTATCTAGTTCACTTTAGCGATATTCAGGAAATGATATTCAGGCGATCAGACAAACGTACATATTTTTTATATGAATCTTGACTCCATATTTAAAAAAAAAAATCATCGTGGAATCAGTTAGTAGACAGGACCCTACATGACTCTGTCCTCAGCAACACCCAGCATGGCCGCACCACCCAGATCACCAGTCTAGAGAGAGGATGCAGTACAGTTCATTCCAACAGACAGTCACTATGTAAGAAAATGACACATATTGCTCATATATGGCAGTTTTGTCAACATCTCAAAATCAAAGTCGAATTTCAGTAAAAGGTAGGTAGGTGTGTGTGTGTGTGTGTGTGTGTGTGTGTGTGTGTGTGTGTGTGTGTGTGTGTGTGTGTGTGTGTGTGTGTGTGTGTGTGTGTGTGTGTGTGTGTGTGTGTGTGTGTGTGTGTGTGTGTGTGTGGTGTGTGTGTGTATGGTGCTGTGGGTGAGTGGTGTGGTGGTGTGGATGAGTGATGGGTGGTGTAGGTGGAGTGGTGTGGTGGGGTGTAGGTGAGTGGTGTGGTGGAGTAGGTGAGCGGTGTGGTGGTGTGGTGAGCAGTGTGGATGGGTGAGTGGTGGTGGTGTAGGTGGGTGGTGTGGTGGTGTAGGTGGGAGCGGTGTGGTGGTGTGGGTGGGTGTGGTGGTGTGGGTGAGTGGTGTGGTGGTAGGTGGTGGTGTGTGTGGTGTGTAGGTGAGTGGTGTGGTGGTGTGGTGAGTGGTGTGGTGGTGTAGGTGGGTGGTGTGGTGGTGTGAGTGGTGTGGGTGGCAGTGGTGGGTGGTGTGGTGTGAGGTGAGCAGTGTGGATGAGTGGTGGTGGTGTGGTGGTGGGTGGTGTAGGTGAGTGTGTGGTGGTGTGGGTGAGCGGTGTGGTGGTGCAGGTGAGTGGTGTGGTGGCGTAGGTGAGCGGTGTGGTGGCGTAGATGAGTGGTGGGTGGTGTAGGTGAGTGGTGTGGTGGTGTAGGTGAGCAGTGTGGTGGTGTACAGAGTGTGGGGGGAGCGGTTACTTCCCAACAAGTAGTATTGTATGTGTTGACGTTAAATAAAAGTTATTTGCTCTTGTTTCTTGTTCATACTATCACTTAACCATACCCTCAGTATCAACAAGGGCCACGATCTAGGAACATATCTTCTGCAACTCAACATATCATCTTCTGCAACTCAACATATCATCTTCTGCAACTCAACATATCATCTTCTGCAACTCAACATATCATCTTCTGCAACTCAACATATCATCTTCTGCAACTCAACATATCATCTTCTGCAACTCTGAGACTTCACTACAGAAATCGAGTCTCATCAGTGGTGTAGTGGAGGGAGAACGTGGGGAATGGCGCTCCCTCACTTTTTACCTCCGTGACAGCTTGGCACTCTCGAACATTTTATTTCCTAAATGCGTAAGTTCCACTCTATTCTTCAATGCAAAGGCTTAGCCCTCCCATCCCTATGACCGGTGAGGAGACGTTAAACTGAGCCAGAACAGAGACATTCAGGCTACAGCTGCTAGCTAGATATAGTAGTGACACACTGTGAACTAGAACAGACATACAGGCTACAACTGCTAGCTAGATACAGTAGTGACACTCTGGGCCAGAACACAGGCATACAAGCTATTGTGGAATAATACGTAAAACGTCCATAGACTTTTGAGAGAGAAAATTTAGAAAAAAGCTGTCAAATTTGTGGTCTGGATCCGGTTCTCTATTATAAATTGTGGGCAGGACCAGTTCCGTTGGTCCATACCTGTTGTCCACAAATATTAACAGCATGGAACCAGTTTACTATAGCCGGACCCTTGGTATTTATGAAGGTTTCAAATGACGAACAAAGGCTAGGTTAGTTAGGAATTTAGGAAATTAAATGTTAAATTTATTTATTTGACATTGAATTTAGTCAAGAATGAGGGTCATTTTATAGCAAATGACATAATTCGATATTTTTTTCTAATGATAAGTTCAGACAAAAGTTAGACGATTTTCTTCTATGACACCTTTCTTTCATTTACCCATAAAATAGTTTTAAAGGCAAAAGGAAGTGGCTCCGTGAAGAATAAGCACCCCAGCTTATTTCACCTGAAGATTAAACACCCTAACCTAACATTAGTTTAGGATAATATTAGGTTAATCTTGCCAGGGGTATATTGTCAACTAATAGGGATATTAACCATGGAGGGGGGGAGGGAGGGGTACTTGTCTCGTTAATATATCGGAAATCTTACATAGCTTAACATGAATAAAGAATTTTTGCATCCTTGCGGTTTCATTGTATAATTTAAGGTCAATGACATCTTGTATTTTGTTTTATTTTGCAATGTTTCAGTATGTTAAGAATTAAAAAGCTTTTGTTAGTAGAGTTCGATGGTTTGGAGCTTCATAGGATTTCGAGCACATTTTCTGAGCTAATCTAAAGTTTACCCTGCGGACAAAAAAAACCAAATGGGAGCAGAGCGGGTCACAGGTGGCGCTGGCGGTTCCTCAGTCTTCCTCCGCCTTGAGAAGTATATCCCTGTCTGTGCTGCTGAGGAATCGTGGCCGAGGATTGAGCGACTGTAAAACAAATAGTGTGTACACTCAGAGGATGTGCTGGTGTCTGAAGGTGTTGTGCGTTAAGAATTTCTCCTGTGTTGTGGTAGTGGGAAGGAAGGACACCACGGCTCCGGACAGTGACGTTCATTGGTAGCCATACCTTAACAGCCGGGTCCAAACTTAAGTAGCTTACCATTCGCCTTCATTAAGTTTTATTCGGAAAATTTTATTGTATTTCACCATTTAAACTACACTGGACTGTTATTCCGCAAACGATTCCTTACGAGCCTAAATTGTATGCCAGTGTTTGCGGAATAATTTGCCAGCGAGTGAGTACCAAAGACTATATACAAAATATAGGAAAGCTCGAGCTTTTGGGTGTGCGTGATTTAGGGCCTCTGAGGCAGACGGCGTTGGTATCGGTGAGAACGTCGTCTGCTTACTGAATACGTCAACTTCGGTGGCGCCAAGTTTGTACACAGCAGCCATGCCACACCCGTTTCCTGTGCGTAAAATCCAAAGAAATTCATCTTACTTTTATATTTCATCGATTCCCTCGATAACCGGAGTATATATATATATATATATATATATATATATATATATATATATATATATATATATATATATATATATATAATGAGTTGTTTACGTTCGGTGCCACGACTCGGCCAGCAGGCAGCCAATGCGACGACAGTCACTAAGTAGTTCGAGTTCGACTAAGGAAAGAGTTCGCTTCAAATACTGAGACTATATACGATTTACATGTCCAGAAAACAAAAAAGCTTAATGGTTAATAAACTCAGAGAACGTACAAAATATATAATAAAAATAATGAATAATAACATAAGAAGCAGAGGTGGAGTTTGAGATTAACCACCCCTTCCCTCCCGCCCCCTTCGGAGCTAGATTTTATTTTGGGCCTTGCCGATAGATGGCGTTGATTCCGGCTTTGCGGCGCACCGTTAATTCAATAGCTTTCGTACGAGCTTTCCTTTCTTTCGTATATAGTCTTTAGTGAGTACAGACAACAGTACAGGGGCTGGCGATGTTACATTGTTTTTTTTATCGGCCTTCACTGGCAGTAGCTCCGAGTATTGGGGAGGGGGGTTACAATGACCAGGTTAAGTTAGGGTAGGTTCGTTTCGTTGGTGTATTATTTTACAGGTAGACTTTCAAAAGATGTTTGCAAATGAAGTTTCTCTATCCCTTTCCCCTATAGTATTTCTATCTCAAATTGCATGTAAGCGTGATATTTAACCTTTTTGGTTATTTTCCTTAAATATTCCGAAAAAATCTGCCGAGTCACCGCGTGTCGTCTGTTTAAAACTGACCCCTTCAGTCCCAGTCTACTCTCACGTACACAAAAAACGTAAAATTATACTATGACGCTTCAACAAAGTTGCTTTCATTGGTACCAGATAACAAAATAAGTACTTTCTGCTTAATGTGGCTGGGGCTCCGGGGGCGGAATCCCAGGCTAGGAAGTTAAGTAAGGTTAGTTATGTCTGTTCTGGCCCACAGTGTCACTAGCAACTGTAGCCTATATGTCTCTGTTCGGTCTATTTATAGTGGAGGACATACTGTACAGTAATTCGATATTGGGGTTTTCTTTGTTTTAATAATAAATTCAGACAAAAACAAGAATATTTTTATCTGACACTTTTGGCTTATTTTACCCATAACCCAACTTACATTTGAAGCTTCCCAGCGTGTTCGAGTTATTGATGATGAAAGGTAACTTATTCCACTCATTCATTACTTTATTTCCAAACCAAAGTTTACCTATCTCGCGCCTAAATCTAAATTTATCCAATTTAAAACCAATGCTACAAGGTCGCTACTGCACAGATTGTTAAAGTACCTTTCTTATATCACCCTTGTCTCGCCCTGACTTCCATTTGTACAACTCATTCATATCGCCCCTCACTCTACGTCTCTCGAAGGAATGCAAATTCAGATGCTTAATCTGTCTCTATACGCATGGATCCTAATTCCCGGGATTAGTCTTGTCATTCTCCTCTGAATACTTTCTTGGGATTCCATATCCCTTGTAAATAACACTCCAAACTTCAAATTGAGTGACTAACATAATGTAAGGGAGGTGCTCTCATTGTCTCCCCCGAGTGACTTGCCCTCGACAGTAAATACTGATCCTTCTGCCGCATTCTGGTACTCTCCTTACACGAGTTTCACTTTCCTGCACATATAACGATGATGTCACTACTTGGACACCCAAACCTGGTGACCTTACTATCTGGAAATCCCACGACGGTGATGTCGCTACCTGCATATAATATGATGCATTCTTATTGTCTATAGAGCAAGTACTGATCATGCAGGAATTTTAAATAACATTAATAATAATAATATCAATATCCAAACAGATGCAAACTCTGCCAGCGAATCGCATCATGGCAGGTTAAAATATCGAACAAGTGATGATGATGGACATGATAATGTTTAAGTATGGGTGATGTCATTTATGAGTGGTGGGAGACGTCAGCGGTAGGGCTTGGGAAGATAGTAACTATAGAGGAGACGCGTGACGTCAGAGGTAAACAAAGAGTAGATGGTGGCAATCGCGGAAAGGGGACGTGATTGCTGCCCGTATCATCATTGGGTATGACTTTGCTTGGGAGATTGGTATCCCCGCATCCCCTGAGCAACGCTCTTGTGCATTATGCAGAAGACCCGACAGCCGCACCCCTATCCACTACCTCCTAAGATGTCCCCACACACAACGCTTCCGTGACGCCTGCTGGACCACCACTCCACGACCCCCTGACGGAGACACGATGATCCGCCCCATACTGGCCAAATATTATGTAAATAATATTGATGTGCTAAAGGAATATCCTTCCTTCCTTAGGCTTTAGTAAGCCCCTTTATAATATTTATACTGTACATACTTGTGACACTTGCCAGATGCTTCTGGTGTTATTGTACAGGGGTACCTAGTGACAGCACTAGGGTCCCGCTTCCTCTATCAAGGAATAAACTATTGAAATTGAAAATTGACGGTGGCAAGGAGGTAGGTAGATGGGAGCGGGTGCCTCTTGTCTCCAATCAGCAAAATTTATACCTGCTCGTCCACTGCCCGCACATCCCGGAAGTCGATCATAAGCCTAGTGTTCCCTCTCACAAACAATACGCCGCGTGTTGATTTTATTTGGTTTTATGACAAGTGTTGTGTGGTGGCGTCATTGACAATGTGCGTCTTTCTTAACTATAGGTTGTGACAACTTGTCTCTGGGACTTGCATAATTCTCTAAGGTAACACGATACACGTTTAGTCGCCTTATGTTGTGTCATCCTTGTCCACAGTAATATAAGTTACGTTATAACTTTCCTTAATAAATCATTTTATTATCTTTTTGCACTGAGGAGAAATGTTCACTGTATAAGAGGTTGTGTGAGGAGCCCCACTGACACTCATGACGCACCAGGAACTTTCTAAATGTCATGAGAGGAACGTGGGCGTCGACCCCACCACACAAACCTCCACCCCTCACCTCAGCCTAACATATTTGACGTACACAACTGGACATAAGACAGTAAAGTATAATGGTCGAGTTATAGTAAGGGACAGACGACTTGACAACATGAGCAGAGATAATGTGTGTTGTTTGGAGACTTGGTGGGAGATTGTTAAGTGGTGTTGAGTGAAGCAAGAAGGTGGTCTCGTCCCTGCTGTCATCTTCGCCACTTCTGTAAGGTGTCTCTACCTCCTCGTTGTTGTTGCTCCTCTCATCCTTTTCAGTGACAACAGCCACGTACCTCGTCATTTCTGGTAAGGTCAGGCGTCTTTGTTGATAAGAAATATTCTCAACGCTTGGAAGTGGGTGAATGGGAGATCACTCAACATATATATATATATATATATATATATATATATATATATATATATATATATATATATATATATATATATATATATATATATATATATATATATACATTTTAGAAGACAATTTACAAAAAAATGCAGTACGGAGAATAAAAACATTAACTTGGGCACATATTCATTTCAGAAATGTCAATATAATGACAAAAATAATTGCATTGTATGTAACCGTTCAATAGTTAACTCAGCTGTTCACAAGAGTAGTGACTGTACAGGAAAGCGATAAAATGCCCAAATAAAATCTTTTTGTAAGTAGGGAAGACGACCTGGAGATCTGGCGAAGATACGATTGGTCAAGGTGGCTTAACTGCATGAAAATAAAGTAGAGCGTGAAGTGCCGTGGGTAAGGTTTCAACCCCGTTATCAATCGTCTGTTCTTCTACATAATCCGTTTAGTCGTGGCTTCACAGTTAAACTCCATTACATGTTTTTGTATAATTGATTCTAATCTGGATCGCCTTCAGACATTAAACGCAGAGTAATGTACAATGTAAGTAAGAGCTCAAATGGATGATAAATGTAATCAAATCGACTAGGGTGTTATCTTATACAAAAAGAAACGGTATTTTACACAGCCTCATTATGTAACATAACCTTATCAGTGTTAATTAAAAAGCAAACTCATCATGTGACTTACCTAATGAAAGACCAGCTTTTAAATGTGTGTCTGCTGTAGCTTAATTTTATGTTCATCCGGATGGTCTAGTTAGCATCTCAGTTTCTTCAATGCCATCAGAAGGTGACCTTGTTAAGTAGCAATCTTCACTTTAGGCAGTTCAGTAGCAATCTTCACTTTAGGCAGTTAAGTAGCAATCTTCACTTTAGGCAGTTAAGTAGCAATCTTCACTTTAGGCAGAGAACGACCACCAGGCTCACGCGGAAGACCTCAAGACATTAATGTCACCAGGATACAATCGTGTTTAATGAAATTACTCACCACAAAAAAATTGAAGGCTGCACAGTTTACCCTTTAAAATTGTTACATTATAATTAAGGCCGTATAGAAATAATGATAGTTTATCATTAAGAAGTCTATTGTATGCAGAAGATGGAAATGTATTCATGTATCGAGTAGCTGTACTATTTTATGGGGGAAAAGTGAACATTATTATGCAACACATGAATGTCATAACAATTAGACCGGGACAATGACCATGTTTCCTCACATGATACTAATCGGCTATATTTTCGGGCTGTGTATTTTTCAGTCAGTCACCATATTTGCCATATATTGATATTTTAACAATTCAGAATTACGCTTGAAAAACAGCATTATTATTGTAGAATACATCATCCCGTAGGCTAGTAATTTTGCAATTTATTCTTTTAATCTACTGAGAGAAATAAAAAAATTAATTACGTCCTCATTTTTCACTATCACCAGAAAAAATCAATCTCAATAATATATGTTATGCGGGTATAGTGCTAAGTTTCCAGATCCTTTGTAAATTAATTTGCCATTATAATCAACACAAAGTGAATGTCAATACGATATGACGTTGAGGCAATGGCTCCCCCCCCCAAAAAAAAAAGCTTGCTCAGGCTAAAATCAGTACGTGATCACAACGCCATCTATGATCTATCACTCCTGTTTATTTTTACTTGTTCTGAGGAATGGAGGCAGGGCAGTGGGGGAAAAGGACTGGTGGTGCTAGTTGGGGGGGACCTGGTGGTGCAAGCCAAGGGTGGGAGGACCTGGTGGTGCAGCACTAGGGGGTTGGGGGGACGTGGTGGGTCAGGGTAAAGGCTAATGGTAAGGAGGAAAGGGTGGGTGTGGGGGCGGGCCACAGGTGGGTCCAAATAACGCACAGTTGGGATACATGTGGCTAGGATAACGCTTTGTGGCCTGAATATCATGAATGAAACAGTCTAATTTGTTGTTTGTACTTGATATTCTTTACCTGTTGTATGGTCTTCTTATCCAGTATATGTAACTTGCATCACCGTTCAGTTAAATAGACTTCGGTTGAATTCATGCCGCTAAAATATGGCCGTGTTGTCATACAAAGTTCTCAAAGATGCTGGCCAGGTGCTGCCATCTATAGCGACTTCGAGCGCGATATTCCAAATGTGTATAAAAAAACTACCCTTGTAGGGAATAATTATTTGCCATCTATTATATTTTACTGATATATTAATAAATTTACTAACCTGTGAATTAAAAACGCAATCATAAAAGCTACTTACGAGTCCTTAGAAATGAAAACAAATTAAGTTACTGGGCAACTAGCGTAATTCTGGTGGTGAAGGCGAGACGCGTCGCGAAGCGAAGTTAGTACGAGGCGGGTGAGCCCACAGGGAAGGTCGGGGAGGCGCGCTCTCCACATACCTCTATAATCCTACCCAAATAATAGAACGGTGGGTTGACATACTCCCACCATCTAGAAGTGACACACAGAAATGCAATGGGGAGTAACGATATTATCAAATAATTAACCTAGTCACTACATTAACCGGCACAGTCCATGGATTATAGGAGTGAATGTATTAAAGGATAAATAGGATTCTGGGGGTGTGGCAACCAAAGTGCTCAAGGGAAGAAACTGTTACTCGAACATGAATTGCGATAAAAGTATTGTGCAAGAAGAAATGGAAGACATTCAACAAACTTGAGTGTTGTGTTGTGCAACGTGTAAATACACCCAAACCACAGCAAGTGGTTAAGGCAGCGACCAAGTGACCAGAGTTGACGTAGTGTAGCCACCAACAAGTCGTTCATCAAGATGTCCGACAACATGGATGACGAGGAGCAGTTTAGGATGAGCCACGCGGGGCTGCTGGCCAGGAGTGCCGAGGGACATGCCGCCAAGGGCATGAGGATAAAAGACCAAGAGGACATGTGGGTCGAGATCCAGCATCACACCTTCAGGAACTGGGTGAACGTGCAGCTGAGAGACACGGGCATCAGGGTGGAGGACCTGTCCGAGGACCTGCACGACGGCCTGGCCCTCGTCACCCTGGTGGAGGTGCTACAGAAACGACGCCTCCGGAAGGTGAAGCGGGTGTTGAACCAGCACCAGGCGCTCGAGAACGTGACCACCGCCCTCAACGCCATAGCAGACGATGGCATCAAGCTCGTCAATATCGGTAAGTAGGGTTTTTGCATTATAATTTGCTTGCTTCCTCACACTGACTTAACCTTGAAAGAGCGCTCTCATACTGGCTTAACCTTGAAGGTGCTCCCTCATTGGTCTAGCCCTGAAGGTACACCTTTAAATTGGCATCACCTTTAAGGTGTGCTGCCAACTGGCTTAACCTCGAAGTTGCGCTCTCATACTGGCCTAATGTCGAAGGTGAGCACTCACGTTGACTCATCCTTAATTAAAGATGTGCCCTCATACTAATTTAACCTTAGATTTTCACTCACATTTGCTTGTGCAGTTCTTTTTCGCCACTACAACTCAAGAACCCTGTTAATACTCATTATAAGGAGAGTTATAACTCATTAAAATCTACATATATATATATATATATATATTCCACCGGGAATTCATTCGATCCTCATGTATCTAGACATTTCGCATGCCCATTATCAATCTCGAGTGATATTTACACAAATTATCTATTATTCAAAGTCGCTGTAGCTACCCTTGTGTACCAAGCTCATAAAATATGCACATAAAACAAGAGTCTCGTCTCTTATTTTTTTCTTCTAAATGTTGTCTACTGTTGAATCGTAGTCTTGATTTAATGAGCAATGCTGAACACATTAACTGTTGAAGCAGCTAAGTACATTAACACAAATTCAATACTCTACTTGTTATTCTTCAGTGTCGTGTGATTTGTTCGTCACCATAATTATTGTGCAGGATGTGGTAACCGCGGGCCAGCTCCCACAGGACTCCTACTGATATGGTTCTGTTTATTGTTTATGTGAAGGTGGAAGCCACCTCACCCACACCAGAGTCAGTATAACTTAGAAATGACGATGGCCCTCTCCAGCGTGTTACTAAGATGTATAAAAGATTGTTTTTAATATGCACATGCGATGATTGTTTAATTAACGTTCAGTAAAGTTGTGTAATACACATTTCCGTCTCATTGTTGACACATGGAGAGAACACATTACAAAACAAATGAGCTGGTGGTTTTGTATTTCAAAGTGTACATTTTTATTAACTGGTGAGTATCATAGCCTCATTGGTGTTTGTGCAATCTATATATACTATGTAACGGTACTATACTTGCTTGACGTCATTGTTAGGTTATACAAGGACATTTAGGTTAAGATAGGTACAGTCACCCAAAAAAGTCCTGTCGCGAACCACGAACCCCGAGATTCAGACTCGTGAACCCGAAGCAATAGACACTGATACATTATTCTGTCCATAAATGCTTCGGATTCAAGAGTCTGAATCTCGGGGTTCAAGGTTCGCGACAGGACTTTTTTTGGGGTGACTGTACGTACGGGATATAGACTGAGTTTACGAACAGGTGTGTATTTCAATATGGGCATTATTGTACAGGAGTAACAGGATATTATATGTGTATTTTCCTATGTTCTAGAATCTAGACTACCGATCTATTATTATTTACTGTATTTCATAAAAGCAAGGGGACAGTTGGCAGAAAGGACAAACTATCAATTTATGTATTACTTGTGCCACACACCAGCGTCGTCGACTTTTTGTCTCAATATCTCAAACAGGATGAGACAGGATATGAATATCTTCCCTAGTGCCCTGACGTCTGAGAATCGGTTGTGACGACAAGCTGTTAGGTTTAAGGTGATGCATTTGTTTTGGGGTCTATAAACTGATACCTTACAAATTAGGATTCATATAAGCGTAGAAGGTAAAGGTAAAAGCAGACAGCAGCCACACGTTTTTGTTATCTACGCAGATCAGTGACCCGTGAATGTCGACAGATTTGATATTCAGCGCAGCGTTTTTTTCTCTGGCAGAAATTGACGATGTTTTGTAGGTTAAGACTACTTGTTCATTAACGAAGCCAACGTTTTAAGATGTTTGGTTTAACAGGAATGTTAGTTGTGAGTAGAATAATAAAAAAAGAATCGTCACGCTGATCAACACTCATAGAGCTAGACGCACACACTAAGCTGATATTGAACGTTTTGATTGATTGCTTTTAAATAACAGTTGTTCTGCGAAATTTTCCAATTCTCTCTGTATACTTCAATGAAATGTAACTTCATGTGAAATTGTACACCACAGCATTCATAATATCTAAGAGTTTTGTTAAATGAATCTTTTCGTAATACAGAACGGACAAAATGTTACCGTAGTTGGCAAACTACATTATTAAGGTCAGATTATATATATTCTTCATAAGACTGATCCACGAGTATTTTAACCCAATTCCTATGTTTATAATGGCTGGAGCCATACTGGCGACTCTTGTCCGGTAATGGTACATACAGTATACAGTACTTAAACAGGTTTTCAAGTTTGATTTCCCTTCCAATGACCCGCTCTTGGTCAGTCTTGCGTTTTCTGTTCTTTCCCGTCTTGACTATCCTAAAATGCCTGGTAGACAAGGCGAGAGTTTGGTGTAAGCTGGGGTAGATACGTAACCAGTCAGCCCAACACACCATAAACAGGTTGGTCTCCCCGAACACACCGACACAAACAAGGTATCACCACAAGCTCACCGTGGTGGTGGTGGCGGCGGTGGCGGTGATTTCAACGTAACCAGTTGTTGTAATCTGAGTTGGTGGTGGCGGCTCCTCGCTCCCAGGTGTTGGGTGTCAGGCCCCCGCGGCTACACCCCGAGCACCACCTGGGAGTGCCTGTATGTAGGTATAGATTTCACACGTGTGCTCAGATGTACTGTAGATAATATTTTAGTAGAGATTGTAAATTGAGCTGTGTGTGTGTGTACTGTCTCATCTGTGCCAGGTGTATGTTTATTATTCTGGACCACACGTGTGTGTCTACATGTCTAGAAATGAATGTGTTCACCTCTCGCACGTGTGAATACATGATGACCACACTACACCATGCACACCTAATGAGTGATGACTCACCTGGATCAAGCGCACGTATTGCTGTGACTCAACTGAACTACGCATATATGTATACACGTTGACTGTCAATAGAACTACCGGGGTACTCAAACATGTATACATGATAACTGAGCTGAACCATACATAAATACATGGTGGTCATTAACTGAATCTCCCTCCCCCACACACACATACATGTATACGTGATAGTCACCTGCATCCTGGGTACTGCTGGCAGCAGCAGCCCATTATCAATGCATACCGCGCCTCGTGTATGTAGCGTCGTTTTGTACAACGTTTGGCACGCCACCTATCTTATAACCTTGTGTGGTATGCAACAAATATTATCGGTGGTATGAAGTAAATGTTGGTATGTTGTGAACACGTACAGGTGTTTACGACTGCCAGAGGTGTGTGTGTGTGTGTGTGTGATCGAGGAGAAACTTATCTTAGTGTGAACTAGTACAGGAGTTTCGCTGGCCGTGTGACCCAGCTCGTCCTGCCAACCTACAATTATCTTCATCAACTCACTAGAGACCGATAAAAAAAAAAGAAAACTCCCCTCCATCTTAAAGCTCATAAGTGTTTTTCACGTGCTGCTGACTGAAGTTGTGCTATTCTGAAGACACTAGCTGAAGTCTATGTTGCTCCCCCCCCCCACCATCACCTACTATTTACGATACTGTATATATTGTCTATAAGCCACGACATCGACTGTGGTGTACACGCATGTTAACCACGATAATAGTGGAAGTTCAGAGTACTATAAACATACAGCTGAAGTTTACAGTATTATTGATCATAACAGCAGCTGAGGTTTGTATTATTGTAGACCAGAACATCAGTACTGTAGGTCTCAACACAAGTGCCTTTGACTGGATGATGAAACTCGGGGCGGATGAGATAGATGATAGTTTTAGTGTGTCAGGTCACTAGGATCCTCCCACAATACCTGTCATCTAACACCTGCTTCACCCACCTGCCTTACTCATCCTTTACTCAACCCCCTTCACCTCACCCATTTGCCTCACTCATCCAAAACTTAAACCCCATCATCTCACCCACCCACCCACCCATCCACCGGCCTTACCCATTCTTTACTCATCCACCTGCCTCGCCCATCCTTTACTCATCCACCTGCCTCATCCATGCTTTCCTCATTAAGTCTTAAAGGTAGAAAATTAGATTTTTGTTTTTTTCAACGTCGTCGTGGCAATTTTTACACGGGACTTCCCCTAAACTCTCATGGTGGATATCCTGTCATTTTTTTAACCTTTTTACCCACGGCTTACACAGCACTGAGAACCTACCCCAGCGTTAGCACCTGTGAGGGGGGGGGGATGTGGCATGATAGCCTATAGGAGGTGGGGAGTGGCATGATAGCTTATAGGAGGTGGTATGATAGCCTATAGGAGGTGAAGAGTGACATGATAGCCTATAGGAGGTGGGGAGTGGCATGGAAGCCTATAAGTGGGGGAGTAGCTTGATAACCTATAGGTGGAGAGTGGCATGATAGCCTATAGGAGGTAGGGAGTTAGTATGGGAGATCCTGGTATGTAGACTGGGAGTGTGGGAGGATGTGTGTGTGGGAGTTTGACGTTGTAGTATGTGTGGGAGTGTGTCAGGACATTAAGGGGCTGGCAGTTTGACCCTCCCACACGACTCCCACGTGAAGCTCCACAAGGTCTCAACCACCAGCCTGCCCAGGACCTGCCAAGGATGGATCACATTACCTCCACTCAGTCTTTTCTTGCTCATTCATTGTTTGTTTACCGTCAGTGTTAAGGTGTAGCTGATTACCTCTATACTACGTTCCATTAACCTAGCCAAGCCAAGCCAAGCCAAGCCAAGCCAAAAAAATGAGTCCCACCCTAAGCTCACACTGTGACAAACACAAGTTGGGACTCTCTTAAGGTCTTGTACTTGGTGAAGAATTCCTCAAGCGGCCGTCTGCTGTATGACCATCAATCAGAACGGTGACCGGGAAAAAGTGTAGCAGGAAAAAGTCAGAAAGTTGCAGTTTAGGCTGGAAAAAAGTCGTAGGATATATATACATATTTTAAAATAGCCTGAGTGAGGTTAGATTAAGGTTGGGCTGAGTTTAAGGGACCTTCTCGATCGA